TTTTTTTTTTTTTTTATTTGTTTTTTTTTTTCTTTTTTTTTTTTTTTTTCAGTTTTTTTTTTTATTTTTTTGTCTTTTTTTTTTTTTATGTTTTTTTTTTTTTTTTTTTTTTTTTTTTTTTTCAGAGTTTTTTTTTTTTTTTTTTTTTTTTTTTTTTTTCTTTTTTTTTTTTTTTTTTTTTTTTTTTTCTCTTTTTTTTTTTTTTTTTTTTGTTTTTATTTTTTTTTTTTTTTTTTTCTTTTTGTTTTTTTTTTTTTTTTTCTGTTTTTTATTTTTTTTTTTTTCTCTTTTTTTTTTTTTTTGTTTTTTTGTTTTTTTTTTGTTTTTTTTTTTTTTTTTTTTTTTTTTCCTTTTTTTTTTTTTTTTTTTTTTTTTTTTTTTTTTTGTTTTTTTTTTTTTTTTTTTTTTTTTTTTTTTTTTTTTTTTTTTTTTTTTTTTATGTCATTCTTTTTTTTTTTTTTTTTTTTTTTTTTTTTTTTGTTCTTTTTTTCTTTTTTTTTTTTTTTTCTTTTTTCATTCTTTTTTTTTTTTTCCTTTTTTTTTCGTTTTTTTTTTTTTTATTTTTTTTTTTTTTTTTTTTTTGTTTCTTTTTTTCTTTTTCCTTTTAACTTTTTCAGGAGGTGGCCCTGTCTCACATCTTCTGGAAGATTGTTCCAGATTTTTGCAGCATGAATCTGAAATGTGGCCTCCCCATGTTTAGTTCTGACTCTGGGCACCAGCAAGAGTCCAGTCCCTGTGCTCCTCAGAGTCCGGACTGGTTCATCTGGGACTAAATGGCACTAATATATATATAAAGTCTATTCTCTGAGCCACAAAAAGCCAGTGCAGAGACCTGAGGACTGAACTTTAGGATTCATGAATACATTGTGTCTGTCTCAGCAGAAAGAGACTCTTTTAAGTAATGTGTGGTGACCAAATCAGACCACAACATGCTGTCTTTATTTTATTAGAATCGTTTTTATTCTTTACATATTGGGAGGTGATTGGCTGAGTAAGGAATCTCCTCACTTAACACTGAAAAATGGGTAAATGACTTTATGACATAGTTATTTGTTGTGGCTGGGTTAGGCAGTCCAGCTTTAATGGGAGCTAATGTAAATCGTACTAAATTATAAAGTGAAATACATGGGTGACCAGAGTGATAGTGGTGTGAGGAGGATGCTGTGGTGCTGCAGCTGCCAAGGCCACTCCCGCGCATGCGCTCTGCCTCTCAGCCTCCTCAGCCTGATCTCTGCGGTCTTCCCCGCACATTCTCTAAGATAACCGGCTAAAGACATGTCCGGGATGTTTGGCAAAATCTTTGTGGGAATTTACGTGGAAATTAAACGGAGCGACGGTACGTGAGCTGTCTGTCCGCACTCTCCTCCACACCATGAGCCGACACCAGCACCGTGCACCAGGCTAGCAGCTAAACCATCCTTCTATCCAAGAATCAGTGTGTTTTCCTCTGCATCCTACATTTAGCTGATTTAAACACAGAATCGACCGTAATTACGACCTCACGTACATGTGGCTGCTGGGCGGATCAATCAAACCCATTAATTTACATTCCTCTCTGGTTAATGCACATATTTTTTCTTACCCCGTCTCATTTTGTTTTTCACGTGTGGTTTTATTGTCTATTTTAAAGTGACGATCATTATTTCCAGCTGCAGAAACATGTTAAATGTAATAATATGAACATATGTTGGGGCCTGCCTTCTATGAGCCGCTGATGCTGGGGCCTCTCCCCTTTTTGCGGCATCCGATTCTTTACACGCTCACTTACTATCGTTAATTATTTTGCTTATACTTACTGTTTTAGACATAACGTGGTGTATGATTTTTAATATAGCCTACTTCTGTAATACTATAGGTGAATGGAGTGTATGGACCACACCCAGAAGTATTGCACTTGTATATAGAGACTGTCTATTCATTAATACACCGACCCATTTCTCTAAAACTGAATCTGTGTGAGAACCCTTTGGAGCGCAAACAAATGGCTGGGCTCTTTGTGAAGCTGGGGCCCTGTAATTTACTCTAATTATAAGTGGAGAACCATCTCTGCATATAGAGACAGATCAAACTCTAAAGTCCAGATAGATGTTCCATAGGAAATATAAAGCAGGTTATAGCATGGTGTCTGGATATTGGATGTATTTGACTGTAGAATACTCACGTTTTTAACAATTCCCCCTTTGCAGCTGAGGCAAATATCACTGGGAATGAGATTTATGGACTGGTAATAAAACAAAAAAATTCCAGTTTGAACGTATGTAAGATCACAAATAACTTGTATGAATGTTGTTGGTCTATCTTTTTTGTGAGGTTCAAACTGGTCCAAGTTTATCCCAGAATTATTATTATTTTTGACTCTAAATAAGAGGGATACATCTTTATTTTGATCTTTCACATCTGATGGATATTTGGCTGACGAAAGAAATGAAGTAAAATCCAGTTGTACTCTTATGTACTTTCTGATGTACAGGCACATACGCAGTAAAACAATAATGGCTAAAACACATTGTAAAACTGTGTATCTTATTTTGTCAGGACAAGGTGAGCTCATCTGTACACACTGAGCTCACCTTGGCAGAAGCAAAGCAATCCCAGTGTATTTTCTTTTAGAGAGAAAAGTTTGTAGGTTATGAACACTTTTTCAAGGCACTGTACATACATAATTTATTTCAATAGTTCACCAGTGCAGTAAATGGTTCAAGACACACATACCACTAAAGTGTTGTAGTTCATGCATCTTTGAACTGGAGTACCACATCCTCTTCCCGCTGCAGGACGAATACACCAGGCCATGGTCACATCTCTGCACGAGGACAACGAGAGTGTGACAGTGGAGTGGATCGAGAATGGGGACACTAAAGGCAAAGAGGTGACTCCTAGACATATACTGTAAAGATATTATTGTAAAGGTGATGGTGGTGGTTGGCCAGGAGCTGAAAACCACATTTCTTTATATCTTTCTGTTGTTCAGATCGACCTTGAAAGCATCTTTGCTCTGAATCCAGACGTCATTCCTGATGATGAGATTCCACAAAGCCCTGAGACCCAACTTCCTCCTTCTTCTATTCCTAAAGCCAGCAAGGTCCCCAAGGTGAGCCTCCACAGACTGAATCTTTTCCAATGCCCGGTTTAATACATTTAGCTGAAAATTAGGTCCTTAAAAAGTATTGACAAGTCTGAAACGGTCCTGGTGGCTGCCTGCTTTTTGTTTGACAGTAGAGGAAATCATAATTGTGTTGGTATATGTATTTTTGGGAGGTGTTTAAGTTTGATGGAAAGAAGAACCATTTACTGACTTATAGTTTTTCACAATATTTCACAATATGAATAGATGAGCAAAGAGTTCTGAAATGAAAGCCTGGAGGTGAAAGATGATTTCATCAGGGTCAATGTACTCACTGTTTCATTTGATTTTCATTTCATGTTTTTATATATTTCTTTTATACAGGTATATAAGATTATAAACAGGAATCAATTATCATATTTACATATACAAACATACATGCGTACCAAGTTTATCTGTATAGCACAGTTCATATGCCCAAGACAACTCAAAGCATCAAACAAAACAAGAAAAGAAACTTTTAAAAATCAAAAGTAATCATAGTGCATTACAGAGAGTTATGGGCACAGCTAAGCAGAACTGTTAGCTTAGCAGTGCGTACCTGAAGAAGCCTGTCACATTTTCAGGAAGACTGTTCCAGATTTTAGTTGCATATATCTGAATACTGCCTTCCCATGTTTAACCAAACATGAACATACATTCATACATACATTTTTGGGATTTCTTGTCAATGTGTTCCAAAGTGTTAATCATTTCTATGTGGTTGACTTGAGCACAATATTTGGTATCGGCAACGGCACCACCTATGGGCCACGTACCGGTATTAGATTCCTAAATAAACAATAACATATACAGATAATATACATATAAGTATTTAGAAGAGATGATACAACAACTAGAACAGGTGTGATCACACAAATCAATGTGTGATGAGTGATATGAAAAAAAATATGGATATTTCTTTTTTTCAATTATTGCTGTAAATAGAAGTAATAGAAGATCTAGCTCTACATATTGTCTTAATAATCACAGCAAACTCACCTTCGCAGATTAACCCCATAGTGGTTTCATAAACAACACCAACACAATGACTTCAGCCTGCAGCCACATTACTATAGTCTTGTAACAGTCGCATCAAACCCACATCATACTCTGGGGCAGGGGTCTCCAACCTGTAGCTCGCCAAAGGATTTAGAAATGAATCAAATAATATACTTAATATTTCAGATTGTATTAAACATTATAATTATTTATTATTGTAACTTACTAATTCACTTACTTTGTGCATTAGTAACAAAGGTAAAGGTGCACTTTATTTTTATTTTTTTCAACACAATTTATTGAGCATTTTTTGATATTCCACATTTTACAGTCATTCATGAACAGATGTATGACAAACATGCCCTCCCAACATCCCCTCCCCCCCAGATTGAGTACAAATAGTTAAACATATGTATGTTTAACTATTGGTACGTAAGACCTAAAAATTTATATATATATATTAGTGCTGTCCAACGATTAAAATATTTAATCGCGATTAATCGCATGAATTTCATAGTTAACTCGCGATTAATCGCAAATTAGTCACACATTTGCGTGCTGTGTGCAATTGCTTTTTTATTGAAAACAATGTGTAGTGTTATATTACACACTAACATTTGATGCAAAATCATCAATAAATGGATGACAAAATAAATAATTGGTAACAAAAAGCCCCTTCAATGTGTGTGTATGTGTGGGTATAGACCATAGACTGTATAGAAACATCATGGTGTCATTATGATGATGATAAACAATCTGTAAATATTTTGTAAATTTGTTCATGTAAATACTCTATGCTGTTTCTCTGTTTACCTTCGGTATATCTATGACTGTATACTGTTTGCTTGTATTGCCTTTTTTATTAACCCCTCCCCCCATCTCCCACTTCATGCCCCCCCCCCCCCCTCCCCTCCTATCGTGCCCTTCTGGGTTTCTTCTTTGGCCCCCTGTATCTCCAACTACATATTGTTTGTAATCTCTGTCTACAATGTATCTGAACTAGTCCTTTTCTTTGTTTCTATTTTTTTTCTGTATATGTGTTTGTCTGCAATAAAAAGTAAAAAAAAAAAATAAAAAAAAAAAAAAAAATCTTTTTTTTTTTTTTTTTTTTTTTTATTGCGCGATTAAAAAAAATGACGGCGTTTAATATTTGATTTGCGTTAACGCGTTAATGAACGGAACGCGCTATTGTGGATCAGCCCTATATAGTATTGAGTATGATGAGAGTATGGTATTTATATATAATTATATATATATTATTATAGATTGTATACAGATTATAATTATGTGTATAGTTTTGTGTATATCTGTATGTATGTATGTATTTGTATGTATGTACTATGTGTCGAGATATATACATATATACCATACTAAACATACCACAATATTTACATATATACAGATATGACATACATACACATATACACTATATACCTATACAAATATATACATATTATACATACATACATACACAACATAATATCACCATAATATAATATATATATATATATATATATATAGATATATATTTATACCAAATACATATATATATATACACTACATAAACATATATGTATACTATAAAGTACAGAAATATCAACAAAAGTAAAATAATAATAATAAAAAATAAAAAAAAAAAAAAAAAAAAAACTAACAGAGAATCCAATCATAACATACATGTATACTAGTGGCATTGCTAGGGGCCACAAACCTAGCATCAAGTGAACAGGACACATGGATGCCAATCCAGAAAGAAAGCACACAATGCGAGAATGCCGGACGGCCTTCCAAATTCTCAGTCAAGCTCTCCTCTTCCTTCTTTCCCCTTCCCCTCCCATCTCTCCCTAGTCAACAGATAATGAGGTCATAGAGTTAAAGTATTGGAGTAAGGGATTCCAATGTTGATAAAAGGTTCTCGTGCTCCCCCTTAATGAATATTTAATCTTTTCCAATTTCAAAAAGGACATTGTATCTTGTAGCCAGGATGTTGGTGATGGTGGTAACTTGTTCTTCCATGAGAGAAGTATTCTACGTCGAGCAATGAGTGAAGTGAAAGAGATTACATTTTTTTTTTTTGCTGGCAATTTTACCCCTGCACTAGGTATGCCAAATATAGCAATGAGAGGGCACAGTTCAATTTCATGTCCAAATATGTCTGAGAGGGTCTTAAAATATGACTTCCAATAATTTTCTAGTCTAGGACAAGATCAAAACATGTGTGTGTGATTACAGGGAGTTTGAGAGCATTTATCACAAATGTCTGTGGTGTTTGGGTATATTCTTGCCAATATGGGCCACTTTGAATTGTATCACTTGTAATCTTGCACTAGATGAACAGGACTTAATTTCCCTAAGTGCAGCAGACCACCAATTTTCATTCAAGGAAATACCCAGTTCTTTCTCCCATTCAAACTTAATCTTGGCCAACGCAGGCGGTGAATTTGGTACAAGTAGGTCATATAGAAGAGAAACCTGACGTTTCGATTTTTTAACCAGAGGGGACAAAAGGTCAATACCACAATTTGGAGGTGAAGCCGGGAATGAAGTGGTATTAGACTTGAGAAAATTTCGTATTTGAAAATATCTGAATAAGTCAGCTGATTGAAGATTAAATTTGGAACGGAGATCCTCAAAACTAGAAAAAATTCCCTCGGAATAAAAATCACCAATTGTTTTCAAACCCTGTCTTTCCCAGGCTGAGAATCTACCATCCGTCTGAGCAGGTTGAAATAAAATGTTACGAACGGGAGTACTAAGCGGGAGAGTTTGCCAATTACAATTGTTTTTTATTTGCTGCCAAATATTTAAGGTAGCTGATACAATAGGATTATTTGTGTACTGTTTGAGTTTTAATTTTCCAGGGTAACATAACAGAGCTTTCAGAGAATGATGGCAGGAATCTGACTCCAACTGACACCATAGCGTTTCAGGGTAAAAAGCCCAAAATAACATTTTGTGCATGTTGCATGCCCAGTAATAACGTTGCAGATCAGGTAAACCCATACCACCATCCACCCTGGCTCTTTGCAATAAGGTTTTTTGAAGTCTAGGCGGTTTGTTGCTCCATATGTATGACGAGATCAGGCTATTGACATATAAGGGAAGGCACTGAAATAAATATAAGAAACGGGGGACAATGTTCATTTTTATGCATTGTATTCTTCCAGCCAAAGTTAGTTGGAGTTTGTCCCACTTTTGGAGGTCCTCCTTTACTTTGTCAAGAAGCACAGCAAAGTTATCATCAAAAAGAGTTTTCATGGTTTGTGAGATATTGATGCCCAAATACTTGAATTTGGAGGTGGAAAATGTAAACGGTATGCTGGAGGGAGAAATATTCTTTGCAGATTGATTGATTGGAAAAAAGTCACTCTTTTCTATGTTGAGTTTATAACCCGAGAAGATTCCGAAAGTTTTAAGTGTATCCAAAACATGGGGTATAACCTTAACCGGTTCAGAAATGTAAAGTAAGAGGTAATCTGCATATAGCGAGACCTTATGTTCAGTACCAGCCCTCCTTATGCCTGAATCAAATGGTCACTTTTCAGGGTTATAGACAGTGGTTCGATAGCCAGGGCAAAAAGAAGGGGGGGACAATGGACATGGACAATGGACATGGACGCGTTAGAGGAAAGAAAGAGGATCTTAACAGATTAGTGCACACACAAGCCTGGGGAGATGTGTAGAGTAGCTGAATCCAGGAGATGAAGTAGTCACTGAAGCCAAATTTTTTCAGCGTTAAAAATAGGTAAGGCCACTGCACACGATTGAAGGCCTTTTCGGCATCTAAAGAAACTACAGCCTCAGGCACTTGTAATGTAGATGGAAACAATACAATATTTAGAAGTCTGCGGACATTTGTAAAAGAGTGCCGGTTTGATATGAAACCGGTTTGGTCTTCTGAAATGATAGTATGTATGACTGATTCAAGTCGGCATGCGAAGATTTTGGATAATATTTTAACGTCTACATTCAAAAGTGAAATTGGTCGGTAGGATGAACAGCTATTTGGGTCTTTCCCTTGTTTGTGTATTAGTGAAATGGTGGCTTGTCGGAGGGAAGGTGGTAGAATTCCCCGCTGCAATGAGTCGTTATATCAATGTAGCAACAAAGGAGCCAGTTTTGTGGAAAAACTTGTATAAAATTCAACCAAAAAGCCATCAGGCCCTGGTGACTTGCCACTATTCATTGATTTTATAGTACTACAAATCTCGCTCAATGTAATTGGGGAATCTAGAAAAGCACTCCTCTCGACAGAAAGCCTGGGCATTTCTATATTATCAAAAAAACGTAGCATTAATGAGTCATTTAGCAAATTATCTGATTTATATAGGTGAGAATAAAATGCCATGAATGTGTTATTTATTTCACGGGGATCCGATGTTATTTGGTCAACTGAATTTTTAATTTGAGTGATCATCTGAGCGGCTCTTCGGCCTTTCAGATAGTTTGCCAGTAGTCGACCCGCTTTTTCACCATGTTCGTATATCACCCCTCGAGCTGCATGTAACATTTTCTCAGCCTCAGAGGTAGAGATCAAATCAAACTCCGTCTGTGCATCTAGTTTCTGTTTGTTCAGTTCATTAGTAGGTGAAATGGCAAATTGCCTGTCTAGATCAGATATTAATTGCATTAGCTCTTGTTTACGCTTTTTGACTGCTCTCCTTGAATGAGCAGAGTATGAGAAGATCTCACCCCTAAGAACAGCCTTTAAAGTTTCCCACAGCAAACTTGGATTTGTATCATTTTTCTGATTAGTCTCCAAGTAATTGTCTACAGCCTGATTTATACGTGAAATAAAAATGTAATCTGATAAGAGTACAGGGTCAAGCCTCCAGGAATGGAAGTCTCTGGGGCTAGAGGTAAACTGTAGTTCTAGTGTTAAAGGAGAGTGATCAGAAATTACCCTAGCCTGATACTCAGCTGTTGTCACTATGGGTAATAGAGCTTTATCTACAATAAAACTATCAATCCGCGAGTGAGTTTTATGTACATGGGAATAGAACGAAAACTGTTTGTCTGCTGGATGCAGATGTCGCCCATCAGTAAGACCATATTGGGACATGAATTGTATAAGTACCTGTGCCATCTTTGGTGGTGTGGGATCTTTAGGATTAGATTTGTCTAAAGTAGGGTTTAGAACCGTGTTCAGATCCCCACCTAAAATCAAATAATGAGAATTTAATTTTGGTATTGAAGAGACTAGTTTTTTAATAAAGTCTTCATCATCGTGATTGGGAGCATACACACTCACAAGTATGACTGGTTTTTGGCAAAGCGTGCCCACTACTATCACATACCTGCCATTGTTATCAAATATTGTTTCTGAAAAATTAAGAGGTACATTTTTCCTTATCAATATAGCTGCTCCCCTTGTTTTATTATTAAATCTAGAATGAATGAATGAATAACTTATCCAAAACTGGTTTAATCGTTTCTGATCTGCATTGCGCAGGTGTGTTTCTTGGAGAAAGACCACATCTGCTTTCAGATCTTTAATATGAGAGAGCACTCTAGTCCTTTTAGTGGCGCCGTTAATACCCCCGACATTCCAAGATAGTATTCGGACCAAGCGTCCGTTGTGGTTACTTATATTTGTGTCCACCATGTAATTCAGAAACTAAGAAATCTGTATGGACTCTCAAAAAAAATAAAAACAAGAAAACACGAACAAGCAATACAGAACGACAACCGTAACAGTAAAGTAGAACAAAACAAGATGCACTCAGCCCCCCCAAACGGAGTGAACAGGGAAAAAAAAAAAGTCCAAAGACCTCCAGGTATCTTGCCATATAAACCCAGCAACATTCTAATCTATACTCAAAGAGCCCCCGGAGCTAATATGAAACAACATTATCAAAACTCTGGCTACAAGTGTTATTAGAGATGTAAAAAAAAAACCAAAAAAAAAAAAAAAAAAAATATATATATATATATATATAAGCAAGCATTTGCAGTTGAGCAGAGCGACCAACCAGTGATCAACCACTGGCGTAGTGGCTGGCTCCTCTTCGTTAGTATTAGCGCCTTTTGCTTTTGACTGCCTTTGCTTGCCTGACATTTTTGTGGGATTGCTCACTGCTTACTTTAAAGTCAAATACATGTAGTTCGTAGCCGTTGTTCTAGATAAATTGGAAAATTTTACTCCAGGGACTCTCCACACGTGTAACCTAGTCCACCATGACACCGGAAGTCAACCAAGGTGCACTTTATTAATCCCCGTAGGGCAATTCAATCCTCTGTATTTGACCCATCCTGAGGCCGCGAAGGCTTACATCAGGAGCAGTGGTCGCCGTAGTAACAGCGCCCGGGAACCCATCTCCAGATGTTAATGCTCGCCTTGGTCAGGACTACCAGAGCTGAAGGATTTAACCTAGTGAGCATGTTTTTAGTGGTAGGGGAAACCGGAGTACCCGGAGAAAATCTACGCAGGCATGGGGAGAACATAAAAACTCCACTCAGAAAGACCCTGTTCCGACCAGGATTCGAACCCAGGACCTTCTTGCTGAGAGGCGAGAATGCTATCCACTTAGCCACCGTGCCACCCAAATTCAATGATATACACAGTATATATTTTTTCCCAGTGCCAAAGAGTAGCTCTCTGCCTTTATTGTCCCGGAAAGTAGCTCTCTGGATGAAAAAGGTTGGAGACACCTGCTCTGGAGTCTTTATATATACTTTTTTTTTCAGACAAAACGAGTGACATCTATACCCAAAGCTGAGAACACCCCGCGGGAGAACAGAGGTAACATTTAAATGCATTTATTTTTTACGAGAACTTTTATTTTTTAAGTTTTTGACGTCATGTCCAGTGTCAAGTAGAATACTTTGATTTACCAAAAATGGCATCACAGTTTCAAAATATCTGGTATGATTTTTTAACTTTTTTATTTCACAATCCAATAACAAATAAATATTCCTTATTGAAAAGTAATGTATTCCAAATGCATGGTACACGTACTCCGTTACTGCCAACACTGTGGGAGTGTGTTGTTGGAGTTGTGTGATTGTGGTGTTGTTGTGTGTCCTCAGCTGCGGCGGTTGGAACGACCCGAGCCCGGCCCAGTCAGCACGCCGAGCCTCCTCCAGCCATCGCTCCACAGACCGCCTTCAACCAAACACTCCTTCAGCAGCAAAATGGTAACACTTACAACCACTCGGGACTTATCTGTTGGAGGGACGCAAATAACTTTTAATCTGAAATATTTATTTAGTTGAGTAGAAGTTTATATGAAATGTATTATATCTAAATGTAAATAAAAATGCAGATCGGCCCTTTAGGGAATCCCAACGAAATAGGTCCTGAAACAAAACATCTATGTCCACATTTCATACGTGTCATTTAGCCTAGTCTCTTGTTCTCTTCATCTCTCTGATTCTAGAAAGTCCTGAATATAAAACATCAGATTTTTTGTCTACTTTTTTGGTGTATCCTTTACAGCTCGCAAGAAATCAAATTGTGTCAAAGAAGTTGAAAAGCTTCAAGAAAAACGTGAGAAGAGACGACTGCAGCAACAAGAACTCAGAGAAAAGAAAGCCCAGGTTTGGAAATCAGCAGGTTACTATCGTTGTATGGTTTCAATTTATGAACATGCGCTTTTTTCCAGGAAGTAGATGTCAATTTACCAAACTATGAAATAATGTGTATGATCCGAGACTTCAGAGCCAGTTTGGACTACAGGCCCCTGACCTACAACGATCTAGTAAGTCACTAAACTATAAAATGTTGTTTTATAGCACATGTGTCAAAGTGATGAATGAATTTTACATGGCCCGTTGCCTGCCATGTTCAATATTACGTCAATTGCGTTTTCCGCTATTTTCATGTTCCCAGATGTCTATTATATCTAATATGTTTGGGGATAAGCTTGAGAGCATATTGAATCGAGCCAGCAGGTGGCAGCAGCGCTCTCTGAATGGTTTGAAAAAAGCTAGATGCACTTGTTGTGCCTCTTTTTTCTCAGCTTTTTGGTGATTTCAGTAAAACTTCCCTCTACTCAACTGGGGATTACAAGCTAGAAACAAGATTCTTTTTGCTGATGAAAGTAGACAGTCTATTCTTTCAGAATCTGGTTTCGGATTTTAGATAGTCATAGTACACATTATTCTGTGGGTCTTGAAAAATCTATGAAAATCATCAGAAACTGCTGGCAATATGGGAGTACCTGTTCTGAAATAGGCTGGCAGGCAATGAGTTAATAAACATTGAACCAGTCCGGCCCTCGGCTCGCAGCCAATTTGTTTTTTTGGCCCTCTGATGTATTTGACTTTGACATGCCTGTTCTATAGGGTCCAAAGTTTTTTGGTGCCTACGTAGCCATGAAGTTGATGTATGTACTTTTTATTGTCGTTTGAGCGCTCTCTCGCGGGCAGGAACAGATGTTGACTCTATCAGCTGTTGATCTCCAGGGCTGATGAGTAGAACCATGGATGCATTATGTTATTCGAATAGGGCATTGCTATCATAAACCCATCTCCAGCATGGAGAAGGGGTCACCTTGTCCGTTCTGCTGGGACCAGTCAAATTTTGTGGGGATTTTTGTTTGCCTGGTTCATTTGAAATCATTTGGTTGTATTTTACATTTCAGATTGACGAGCATAGGATATGTGTTTGTGTACGAGCTCGACCTCTTAATAAAAAAGGTAGGTCTTTTAGTTTTGAGTCTTTCGGTTTGAGTGACTGTGGCTCATAAACATCTGCTGTGTGTAGAGCTAACCGTGAAGGACTTGGACGTCATCACTATTCCAAGCAAAGACGTCGTCATGGTTCATGAGCCCAAACAGAAAGTGGACCTGACGCGCTACTTGGAGAACCAGACGTTTCGCTTTGACTATGCTTTTGATGAGAACTCCACTAATGAAATGGTTTACAGGTTTGGATTTATAGTTGTATATACACATTTTAGAAACCTCAACTTTAGACTACATTGACTGTGATGTTCAGGTTCACAGCCCAACCTTTGGTGGAGACCATTTTTGAAAGAGGAATGGCAACTTGCTTTGCTTATGGACAAACCGGGAGTGGGAAAACCCATGTGAGTTTCTGTTTAATAAAATAAACATTTAGTTTAGTTTGTTCATTTGTTTGTGAATTGACAATTGTGTAAAGTCCTCCGAGACGAGACGTGATTTAGGGCTATATGAAAATACATTAAAAATAATTAATACATTTTCCTCAGACAATGGGAGGAGACTTCTCAGGGAAGAACCAGGACTGCTCTAAAGGAATCTACGCTCTGTCAGGTATGAGCTGCTGTTAAACTCTTTTTGTTAGTCTGTATTCATTCATCATTTCTTTAAGCCTAACTGTGTAAAAAAATCCTCTCTTTTCAGCCAGAGATGTCTTTCTTATGCTGAAAAAACCAAACTACAAAAAGTTAGATCTTCAAGTCTATGCCACTTTTTTTGAAATATACAGTGGGAAGGTTGGTATTAACATGACACTCGATGCGTATGGACTTTAGAGGTGTCTTAAACAGTGGGTTCTGCCTGAAGGTGTTTGACCTGCTCAATCATAAGGCAAAGCTGCGGGTGCTGGAGGATGGGAAGCAGCAGGTGCAGGTGGTGGGTCTGCAGGAGAAAGACGTCAAATGCACAGAAGACGTCCTCAAGCTCATTGAAGTGGGAAACAGCTGCAGGTAACATTTTCAGGAGCTTTTCTCATTCAACGGACATCAGAACCATCATAATCACTATGGCAATACATGGACCAACATTTAAGTATAAAGTGTGTATTTAAGGGTAGGCATTTATAAGCTCTGCTAGCTTCAATTTTCAGACCTTACACTGAAAACAATCATAAAATATATAATGTAAAAATGCTTGAATCTAGTATTTTCATCTTAATTTAAGTGCATTTTGGCAAGAGTTTACAATAAAAGAGGCAAAAATTTCTTGTTTTAAAAACACATAGAGCCTTTGGTCCATAAGGGGCAGATGACCAATGTCCATATAAAAGTCAGATCAAATACTACTTCTCGGCCAAAATTACTTCTTTGTTTGATGAAATTTAGGGTTAAGAATGTTCAGTTTTAGTTTAGTTTCATTTCTGACAATTTCAGACAAGATACAAAAGAACATACACTGCAAAAAAAGATAAAATATATAACGTAAGAAATGCTTGAATCAAGTGTTTTTGTTTTTATTTTGACAAGAGTTTACCACGGAAGATGAAATAATATCTTGTTTTAAAAAGATACAAGAAAATTCACTCCTGTGGACTCACCACCTGCAGGAGGATCAGTGAGGGTCTGGTGCTAAGTGTACTGGGTGCAGCTCTGACTGCCACCCCCCCGACCCAGAAATGGATTAAGGGGAAGAAAATGGATGGATGGACAAGAAAATTCAAGAAATGTCTTCCTGGGAAATAGAAATAATTTGCAACAGCACTTGAAAAAAGACTAGCTTGTTCCATTGGCCAATCTTGTTTTAAGATTGTCAAAATGTACTCAAATTAAGATAAAATTGATTCAAGAATTTATTACCTCATATTTTATCATTTTTTGCAGTGTATGTTCTTTTGTATCTTGTCTGAAATTGTCAGAAATGAAACTAAACTAACACTGAACATTCTTAACCCTAACTTTCATCATATTGATTTAATTTTGGCCGAGAAAAATCATAGTATTGGTTTGGACTTTTTTATGGAATTTGCTCATCTGCCCCATTTATGTTGTTTGAACTATTAGGGCTTTACAAAATGAATAAAATGTAATTGAATTGAATTGATTGTATTTTTCTAAAGGACTTCTGGGCAGACATCGGCAAATGCCCATTCCTCGAGGAGCCACGCTGTTTTCCAGATCATTTTGCGTAGACGGGGAAAGATGCACGGAAAATTTTCACTCATTGATCTGGCTGGAAACGAGAGGGGGGCGGATACTTCGAGCGCAGACCGTCAGACTCGCCTCGAAGGAGCTGAGATCAACAAGAGTCTATTGGCCCTAAAGGTGGGCTGCTGTCCTAACCACATCTATCATTAAAAAACCAAGATTGTGGACAGCAAACCTATTTCTGTTATGGAACACTCAAATGACAACTTCCTTTTTTTTAGGAGTGCATTCGGGCTCTAGGGCGAAACAAACCCCACACTCCATTTAGAGCGAGCAAATTAACTCAAGTTCTGAGGGATTCCTTCATTGGAGAAAACTCAAGAACCTGCATGGTATGAAATAACAAGCACTTATCTTTTCACTCTGATCGTATAAGAACGGACCAGAGCTGTGTAAGTCTGGACCCGAGCCAGAATCATTGTCATGTTTGTTCTGTAGTAATACTAGTGTCTCTTACCCATTTCGATATTGGGCACTTTCTGCTTCATAGGGATCTACATGGGGTTGCAAAACTTTTGTCATTTGTCATTGACCACAAAGATTTTATTTTAGGTTTTTTTTTCTGAAAGATCACAACAAAGTAACACACAGCTGTGAAGGGAAAGCTAGATGATATATACAATACAATACAATACAATACAATTTATTCTTGTATAGCCCTAGGTCACAACAGAAGTCATCTCAGAGGACTTAACAAAACCATTGAAATCACCAACACAGGTCAGAGAATCAACAGTTAAAACACATGAAGAATATAAAGCACACACAGAAGAAAATGTCCATACATGTTGTAGAATGCTAAAGTGTCCTGATCATCACCAATCCTTTCTGTTGGACACTAACTGTCCAACAAGACCCTCCTGCATCGACAAGGAAAAACTCTTAAAAAACCCAGTGGGAAAAAGTGAGAAACCTTGGAGGAGAACTAGGGAAACCCACAGGGAGGGAGACCCATATGAGAAAGGGATCCGCTCCTCCGGACGGACAGGCTAATGATCTAGGACCTAAGCTAGCTACAGAACGTGGACCAGTGGACGCTGAACGTGGACAGGTCCGGTGCAGGTCCGAAGCACTCCCAGGCGGGTCGGGCGGGGCAGTCCGCAGGTGTAGATGGAAGAGGCCAGGCTCAGAGATCCCGTCATCGTACCATGAAACAGACAATGGGACAACGGGTGAATAGCAATGAACAAACTACAGTCAGAATCCTAAAAATGCTAAACAGATAAAGTAGGAAGGAGGAGAGGATAGTGCTCAAGTTACCATACTTCTCCCAGCAAACTGACTCCCTATGCAGCTTGACTAACACTCTGAGGAGTTTAACCTTCTCCGAGTCTTACCTTCCTAGCCATATGCTAAACTAAAGAGGACTGTTTTAAACCTAGCCTTGAATAAAGAATAACATACAGCATAATATATAACATAATATACAACATAACACAATACATTATTGAATAATATATAACATAATATATAACATAATACAGCATATATATATAATATATACACTACATATTATATATTACCTAATTATATGCTAAATTAAAGTAAAGTGCTTTAAGCCTGGCCTTGAATGTGGAGACCGTATCTGCTTCCTTAACATAAATGGGAAGCTGATTCCACAGTAAAGGAGCTTGGTAGCTAAATGCTCTGCCACCAACAGTGACCTTTGAGACCTTAGGGACCACCAGACGTCTGGCGTTTTGTGAGCGCAACGCTCGACCTGGTTGATACGACACTAACGTGTCTTGGAGATAAGAAGGAGCCAAGCCATTTATGGCTTTATATGTTAAGAGTAGGATTTTAAACTTTATTCTGTACTCCACAGGGAGCCAGTGGAGTGATTTTAACACCGGAGTTATGTGCTCCCTCCTTTTGGTACCTGTTAAGATCCTAGCTGCTGTATTCTGAACGAGCTGGAAGCTCTTCAAAGAGGCTTTAGGGCACGCTGCCAGTAAAGCGTTACAGTAGTCGAGCCTTGAGGTGACAAACGCGTGAATGAGTTTTTCCGCGTCACTTTTAGGAAGGAAATTCCTAATTTTAGCGATGTTCCGTAAGTGGAAGTACGCCGTTTTAGTTGCTTGGCTTATATAAGCCTTGAAGGAGAGTTCTTGGTCAAAAATGACTCCAAGATTCCTCACAGTGTTACTGGGTATTATACTGATATTATCGAGAGTAATTATCTGGTTAGTGAGGGAGTCACGCAGGCGCTTCGGACCGAGTAGGATCACTTCTGTCTTCTCCGGGTTGAGAAGTAGGAAGTTAAGAGTCATCCACATTTTAAGGTCCTTTATGCAGGCACTGAGCTTTTCTAGCTGATCTGTCTGATTAGGCTTCATCGACAGATAAAGCTGTGTGTCATCTGCATAGCAGTGGAAATTAATTCCATGCTTTTTAATAATGTTTCCCAATGGCAGCATGTAGAGAGTAAAAAGAATCGGTCCGAGTACCGAACCCTGCGGCACACCGAATTCCACTCCAGAATAAGGCGACGAGTCCTGATTCACATTGACGAAGTGATATCGATCTGATAAATAGGATTTAAACCAGCCAAGGGCTGTTCCTCTAAGACCTATATCACATTCTAGCCTCTGCAGTAGAATGCTGTGGTCTATTGTGTCAAATGCAGCACTAAGGTCCAGTAAGACCAGTACTGACACTTGTCCATTATCGGCAGCTAGTAGTAAGTCATTTGTGACTTTGACTAGTGCCGTTTCAGTGCTATGATGAGCTCTGAATCCTGATTGAAAGACTTCAAACATATCATTTTCCTGCAGGTGGCAGCGGAGCTGCTCAGCTATAAGTTTTTCCAGGATTTTAGATATAAAAGTGAGGTTTGAGATCGGTCTGTAGTTTGTAAGTATATATATGACCCTTATTGTCATGTGGTGAAGTGAAGGAGGACCCAAAAAACGGATGCAAAAATAAGAGACCTGAGACAGTGCAGAGACCTGAGAACTGGACTAGTTCATGCTTTCTGGTTCTAGCCAGGATCCCAGCTGCAGCGTTCTGAATATACTGCAGGCCATTGCAGTAGTCGAACCTACTGGAGACAAATGCATGGATAAGAATCTCCAAGTCTGCTTTAGACACTATGTTTTTGATCCTGACAATGTTTTTAGATGGTAAAAAGCTTCTGACGTCACTGATTTGATGTGGCTATTAAAATTTAAGTCTGAGTCCAGTATTACCCCTAGATTTCTGACCTTGTTTGAAGGTTTTAGGGAAAGGGACTGTAGGTGACAGATGACGAGATGTCTCTCTTTGTTCATCATTTATGTTTTGTCTGTGTTTAGTTGAAGGAAGTTTTGCATCCACTCACTGATCTGCTGGATACAGTGAAGGAGTGAGTCCACTGGTCCATGTTCTCCTGCAGTCAGTGAGACATAGATCTGAGTGTTGTCTGCATAGTTATGATAGGAAACTTCGTTTCTGCGTTTTAACTGACCTAACGGCAGCATGTAGAGATTGAACAGAAGAGGTCCCAGGATCGACCCCTGTGGTACTCCACAGGTCAGGGCCATATGATCTGAGACTCAGTTTCCAATCTCCACAAAGTACTTCCTGTCTTCAAGGTAAGACCTAAACTAACTTAGAGCGGAGCCAGCGACACCAACCCAGTCCTCTAGTCTCTGCAAGAGGATCTCATGGTCGACAGTGTCAAAGATCTAACAAGATTAAGATTGAGACTTTGCCTGCGTCAGCGTTCGGCCGGAAGTTTGTCACCTTGACGAGAGCAGTCTCACTTGAGTTGTTGATATTAAGAAATCTAGTAAGCTGTTGGTAGACAACTTTTTCAAGGACTTTCCACATAAATGGCAGATTTGAGAACTGACGGTAGTTGTTAAGTACCGTGGCGTCCAGACTGCTATTTTTTAGAAAGTTTAAATACACTCATGGGTACACAGGGATACACATTAGGGCGGGGCAATCAACTAAACAGACATGAAGTAACACTGAAAAGAACCAAAAGATCAATATAAAACCAGGTAAATGTAATCAAAAAGTCCACACCATGACATTAACAGTGACTTCAATGTAGCACTTTTAGACATTCAGACACTCTTCACTGGCCCTGCTGATGAAAAGCCGGCCCATAGCATGATGCTGCCACCCCCTTTTTGACACCGGTTATGGTGTGAGTAGACTGATGAGCAGTGTTATTAGTTTTCCACCACACACGGCAATTTGAAATGTAGTTAAGAAAGTTAAATCTTGGTTTCTGACTAAGCAACGATATCTTCTTTTGTGACTTTACTCTTGCCCATAAAGGCCAGAATTAAGAAAGACTAATATCATTTACAGATTCTAGCAGGAGGGTTAGCATCTCTGTGAGATGTTCAAAACTTGGGAAATATTTGTGTAACCTAACCATGCTTTAAACCTCTCCATAACTTCACCCTTGTCTCCTCTCTCTGCTGGATATCCTTAGATTTCATGATGCTGTTTAGTGAACAATATGTATTTATTAAATCCCAGAAGCACAGAATAGCGGTAATCATACGGAGATTAGAACACACCATTCGTCAGACGTCAGGAAACTGGAAATTGGAAATTGGTTGCACTCAAAGACGAGTAGGCTGAATACCTAAAGCCCCAATTTACATGTTTTATTTCACAAGATCATGCATCATTTTGCTTTCACTTCACAGATCACTGTTGCTTTGTTAAACAAAAACAAAATAACATCTTTTTGACTGTGGTTGTAACCATGACAACATGTGCTAACCCTAACCCACTGTAGTTCTGTACCATGTACAGTAAGTGAGCCCAGTGAAACCTTTTGGATGATTAAACTGAAATGTTATTGTAAATGTTATCTAAATGCTATACGATTAATAATGTTCCTTATCATCCAATAGTCACTCAACACCCCTTAATAGATTTTTCTGTAATCCTTAGAACCAGAGATTAGTTCAAGGATCATTGTTGCCTTGGATCTCTGTTCTCTTGGATTGTAATGAGGGAGGGCTGGATGTGGTGGACAAGGGCCCTGGAAAAAGTTGTGAATGTTTGTGTGGAGCCCTGCTTATTTTGAGTGTTATTTATTTATGTTTCAGATCGCCACCATCTCCCCTGGAATGGCATCGTGTGAAAACACTCTGAATACTCTGAGATATGCCAACAGGTAAACATTTGGTGTTTATCAAAGAAAACTATCCACATTTTGTCTTGAACCTTGCTTTTTTTGCAGGGTTAAAGAATTTGGCATAAGTCCGTCAGATATTCCTTTCACTCAGAGCGGGGGAGGAGGACGCTCTGAAATGTCGCCCACTTATGAGTAAGAGTTTACCTGTATCAATGCAGGTTATGAATATATGTATACAAAGTAGAGAAAACACATTGATTACTGTAACCAAGAGAACACAAACTTTATCTAATGCTTGTTTCAGGGTGCAGGAGTTGACTGTGGACCCTTTGGCAGCAATGGACTGTCTTCAGGCAGGACACGTCAACCAGCTGGAGGTGCTGGAGGCGCAGTGGGGAATGGGCAGCTCCCCACAGAGAGATGATCTGAAGCTGCTCTGTGAGCAGAATGTAAGGGAAGAAAACACAGTGAAAGAAACACATTTTGTCAGACAGCAGCAGTAATCAGAAGGGCCATTTTATGTCTATACATTTTACAAATGTCGATGATAAATATTTATTTCTTGTACACTACATACCATTTGACTATAAGCAAGTTTTTCTAAGTACATCTAAAAGTCCAAACACGGATCTTTAAGGACCTAAAATTATAGAATAGTAAAATTACTTAAACCAATTATTTAAATTAAGCATAGTTTGTGATGTTTTAGGAAGAGGAGGTTTCCCCGCAGCTCTTCACGTTCCATGAGGCTGTTTCTCAGCTCGTGGAGATGGAGGAGCAAGTTCTCGAGGACCACAGAGCTGTGTTTCAGGTAAGTCCGTAAACTTCAACCTGTAGCCTGATTACAGTGCTGTTAATATGACCTGGATGTGTCCACAGGAGTCCATTCGTTGGTTAGAAGATGAAAAAGTTCTTTTACAAATGACAGAAGAGGTGGACTACGACGTTGAATCATATGCAACTCAACTTGAGCAAATTCTGGATCAGAAGATAGACATTCTCACTGAGCTGAGAGGTAAGATCTAATGAGCGCGTCACACTGTGTTTCTCTGAATTCTCTGAAATTCGGATTTGTTTCAGACAAAGTCAAGTCTTTCCGCTGTACCCTGCAAGAGGAGGAGCAAGCTAGTAAACAAATTACCCCAAAGAGGCCACGTGCACTTTAGGCAGAGCACACACACACTGTATGAGATGAAGAACTAAGTTGTCCTCAGAGAGGGCATGAGGCTGATTGTCATTAAAGAGCTGAGTTTTCTCAGCTGCTAAAACCAATTCTAATATTTATGTTTGTCATTAACTGCAGAGTTATTGTTTTTTTTATATATGTATAATTCTACCAACTTGTAAAATAAGCACAATGTTTTTTTTTAAATTAATTTCATCACAACTTCAACTTGTTTTCTGTTGAATTCTCAATGTAAAAAATGGTCTCATTTCCTGTCCCCTGCAAGTTCTTTTACTGGATCAAGGGAGAAATACTAAGGTTTAGTCACATTTCCCTTGATGAGGGCCCGTTGTGTGTGTGTTTGTGTGTGTGTGTGCGTGCGTGTGTGTCTGTCTCTGTGTGTGTGTCTGTCTGTCTGTGTGGGTGTGTGGGGGAAATGATCCAAATGTTGGAGATTATGACAATAGAAACTATGAACATTATAAATTAATCATATTGACCAGAGGGGGGCGCTGCAGTAAATTCAAGAGCAAAACTGAACTCTTTTGTCATAATAAAAAGTATCACTATTATTGTATTGTGTTTGTGTTCTTTAAAAATGTGTTTGTGTTTTTTTAGTGCTCTTATTTATTTTCAGATTTTCTTACCCCAAGAACCTTTCTGCATTTTGTTGTTTGGAGTTTTGACACAAATATAAATGCAATTTATTGCATTCGGAAAAGACCAACTCAGAGTGAAAGAACATTGTGAAGCAAAATGGTCAATAATATATTTTTTTGATAAATGAAAAATGTAAAAGTAACGCTCACAAAAGTACTCAGCCTTAGAATACATCATTATTGGAAACCCCTCTGCTCCATGGGGTCTATAGGAGGGGTCTCTAACAGATTACCAGACACTTCTTCTGTGCAAAAGTATTCAATAGAGGCCGGATTTGCACAGAGTATGACTAATATGTGCTCCATGTAGATTCTAAATTCTTTGATATAGGTTTGTCAAATAGCTGTGCATTGGTAACTTTACACTGGTGTCATACTGTGATGGATTGAACAGTGCTCTATGAGATGAACATCTGGATCATGATTCCAAGCTATTACCATGATGTGAATTATTCTCATCTTCTGAGACACATGACAGACCAAATACACAGTCCCCCCAAAGTTGAGTTAAAATAAAAATAAAAACATTCATTGTTGGTCCATAAATTTAATTACTTAAATGAATAAAATGCTACATAATTCAAATATAATTTTCCTGAAATTGTCCTTGTATCATTATGATCTTAGGTAAATAAATATCCATGTTAGTTATACGTACATACAATGAATTGTACATTTTTACATTATGTACAACAAAAAGCCCACTGCATGTGAACGGCATCAAAAGGACAAACATTCATCTTCATCAAGTCTGACATGTCTCTGCCTTCAAGACGTTCAGAAACAAAAGACATTTGGAAACAAAAGGACACCACAAATTCAAAAGACGTTCAAGTCTTTAAACATGACTGCAGCACATGCTCAGTCTTGGCTCGACTTGACCGGTTTTTCTCAAAGATTAAACAATGGTATTTCCAAGTTTCACTTCTAAAACTGCACTTTTGGCACTTTTACAGCTCTTCATGCCTCACACAGTGTACATTTCTGAATTACTGAAAAAATCAAAACCCTGAATTATAATATTTTTCATGCACTACAAATGTGATAAATGTAGCAACATGAAATGATAATCACAACAGCAAACTACTGCAAATTAGTGCAAACGATATAAATGAGGTTATTAAGTTGAGCCTACAGTAATAAAATATATGCATTTGGTTGTTGGATTGCCCACTAAAAGTGGAAAAGGATTTCTAGCTTACATCATGGGAAATTATTGTACACGTACTATCCCCTAATCACATAGTTGTCGTTCTAACTTATGACTGATATGAGGTTGGAGATAAGATAAGAGAACCTTTATGGCCTCTTCATCTAGAAATACAGAAAAGACAAACTGACATCACACACTGTCCTATACTCAAAAGTATGTTCACACCACACAGGCCCATCAATCATTTGGTCATACAGTATATTAAAAGGGTGTCTGTTAAGGAGTCTATGCAAAGGCAGCAGTCATTTCCAAATAAAACAGTTGGCTTGAGTGTATAATTGTGTCCTTTGGATTTATCACAAGGGCAAAAAGTCAAGAGATGTGTCCCAGCAGCAGCACGGGGAACGAAGCCACCACTGGGTGATTCAGAGGTATTGCAAGCATGAATGTAAAGGGATCACTGCAGAGGACTGTACAGAGTTTAAGTGTTGCCCCGTCCCAGGACGTCTGAAAATAAACTCCTTCCAACATCACCGTGACTCGTCACAAACACCTGTTATCAACATGAATCAAACTTAGACATTACAGAAGTTAAAGGCAATCTTTGAACATGGGCGCATGTTCAGTCATGTAAGAGCAAGTTCTTCATATAATCATAGTTGGCCAAGAGATTTGATTGGTTGCAGAAACAACTTGTAAACACGAACCTTTCATCACGATTTTGTTTGTGTATTAGCTAAGATTCCACAAAAGTAGTCACCAGGTTTTATAAGGGCATTTACAGATGCAAACAGAATCATCTCCCCAATTCATTTTGTTACAAAGTCTATGTAATTTGGTAGAATAAAACTTTAGTTGTGCAGTCTAGCTGCATTCTTTTGTCTAATTTTGAGTTCATTCAGTTTTCTGGACAGTATTCACATCTGACAGAAAAAGCATTGGCTTTTGAAACATTTGGCCCAAAATCACACTGGGAGAGTACGTAAGACTGGCTCTGCTTTCGTCCTGAGTTCATGATAGTGTGCAGAAACAGGAGTTCCCATTATACTACATTGTTTAAGGCTTACAATAAAAGATAAATTAATGTTTTATTTATGATGTTTTAGAAAAGAGTCATGCTACAGAATTGTCATTTTGTTTCACACAAACCACTTTCTTTCCTTGCAGAGATCATGGCTGAGCGCTGTGGGTTTATATGCCATCTGAATCCTTACTTTGGGCCTAATAGACCCCCACTCCCCTCCTTAGTGCTGCCACTGCGGCCCCAGCAGCCTGCAGCGATGCTCATGCTCCTCTGAGTGGCTGCCACTCGCTCTCGCTCCACTTCACACTGGCTCAGGGTCCTCTCTGTGCGGCCCGGCTGGCTGGGCGAGCCCGGCCCTGTTCCACCAGGTTGTGAAGAAATGGTGCGAAAAATGTGGTTCCGTTTGCGCAGGAAGTCTCCTCCTCCTGCGTTCAAGCCAAAGCTGCCTTTGCGGAGGACAATGCGTGTACTCGCCGTCTTAGCAGGCCGCGACCTCTGACTGTACTCCAGTTGGGACAGGTGAGAGGCGTAGCCATCAGGGATAAACTGCAAAAGAAGATATGAATTCAATACAAATGTCAGCGTGGGCCTCAACTGGGAATCAGAAGCGTACTTGACACTGGTGCTGCATTTTCTTTGTAGGTCGTCCAACTATGTAGATATGCGATGGTGGGACCCCAAGAGAAGAGTACACAGAGATGTCTTTGGTGGAGCCGTATGAAGCAAAGATCCTCATGTGAGCCTGAGTAAAAAGAGAAAGGTCACTGATGCCAGACAAAATATTACAGATAAAATGTGAAGTTTTCTTTACCTCACTGATGAGGGATTTGAGAAAGTTGGCTTTGTGTCTGAGAGGATCATGAACCAGTCCATCGCAAAAAGATACAATCCCATGAGGAAAGTTATGCTGAGAAAGCCAGGCTACAACTCGCTGCTTCTGCATATCTGGACGGCCTGTGACATACACGATCACATACCCCAGATCCTGCCAGTATCTGGAAAACAAAATATCTTAAGATGCACTTTCAGAAAGTACCAGTATTCATCTCTCTTTATTAAGACTTATTTCAATGGTTTAGTTTTTTATCATGAAAGTATGTCTAGTATTTAAACAATGTTGTAATGATTTATTATGTTTCCCTTAACCACGCTCACAGTGTTCCGCTAGGACACCCTAATGCTTATCACTATAACACCATCAAAACACCGAAACACTGCCTACTGGAGGCTTCCAAAACCTCTGCTGGCTCCTCTCGATAAAGAGGAGCAGCGGTTCTACTTCGAGCTCCTTTAGGGTCTAACCTTATCTCTAAGGAAGCGCTCAGCCACTGTGGAGGAAACTCATTTTGACTGCTTGTAACCACAATGTTGTCCTTTTGGTCACTACCCAAAGCTATAGCTTTGGGTAGTGACCTTTGGAAGTGACCTTTGGAAGGTGTCTAGAAGTGGTGGTAATATTCTGAATACACATGAGCATCATTCAACAGGTTTTTTAATCTAATCACTATCAAATAATGATCTGGGAAAACATTTGTATATTTTCTTTTTCAAAAATGCTATGGAAAGTCTTTTCCATAGCATTGTAATGGGCCTGCAGCTGAAATAGAATTGTAGAACATGACAACAACCTATGGAGAGCTCTGTCTTTCCCTCTTCACCACAACAGTCCAATGCAGTGGCCGCATCACAGCACATGACACTGATCCAGATCTGATGCTCTATCCTTCCCTCACTCCTTTGGAAGTTTTGTGGTCTCAAACATTAAATATGTATATTATGCCATCTGCGACACACAGATGTAGCCAGTGAAACATTTACCTCACCACATCCACTGCTCCAGCCCGCACTTTCGGATCACTACCCATTATTGAAACACTTGCGGCGAATGATCCATCAATACTGAACACAACAAACTCTGTTCCCCGTGGGATGATGGTGAGATAGCTGTCGGCGAACGTGTGGTCACCGCTGTCACAGAATACAAAGACGAGAGACGTGAAGATAGAGACAGTTAAAGAATGACTATAATAAAAAATAATGAAATCACCTACCGCACCACCATTTTCACCGGGTACACGCCGATGCCGAGCCTCTTTGCCTCTGGTATGACGTAAGAGACGCGGCCACTGCTGTTGGTGAGCTCGGTGTCAAAGTAAACCCATTCTCCAGATGGAGGCTGGGTCATGATGTGAATATCAATCTACAAAATACAGACACGTATTAGAGAGGAAAGTGAAAGTGCCCTCACATTTGTCAGAGACCATGTGTCAGGAGTTAGCATTAGAATATCTGGATACACTGTTCAAGTACCTTCTCTCCTGTGAGGGTCACCATGTCCAGAGGGCCGTACATAAAACGTCCTGTGACCATCTGGGGCCCCTCCTCTGAGTACACACAATCAATCACTCTGTGGTTGGCTGTCACATTCTGTAGAATAGAATGAAGAACAAAAATTAATGTCATTCATTGATCACAGTGGATTATCCTGGAAACAAGCTGCGTACCCTGATCTTGACGTGAGTTCTCTTGCGAAGCCACTTTTCTCGAGGTTTTGAAGGAGTAAACACAGACACCTCCTTTCCATCAAGTTCCAAAATGCTTGAGTTTTCATGTCTCATGATCTTAAACACAGCAACATAAGTTCAAGGCTAGATTAGGTTGCATCCGTTGCAATAACAAATCATAACACATAACATAAACATACTAATATGTCACAAAGAAATGACTAGAGACCTAAATACAATTAGTCAGAAAGAATATAAGAATCATTCTACTCTAAATAATGTACAGTACGTTGATGCAAGATGCAAAGACTGATTTGAACCTCAGAATGATTACTGCTGTGCCGGATACAAAGGCTGGATAGTAAATGACGTAGAACTGACCACAGAAAAGGATGTTTTTGTGGGAGTAAAGTAATGAATAAACAGTGTGCACCTGTCTTAGGAGAAAAGACACAACGTCTGTTGATTCCCAGTAGGAGGCGTGGAACAGATGTGGCAGAGCCACCGTGGGGAAGGCGGTCAGTGCATCTGGACAGTACAGGGCGTAGTCCATCCTCTTACTGCCCCACCAGCGCAAAGCAACTAACAAAAACACAAGACCTTAAAGTGCCGTTGGAGACAAAGAGCAGATATACCTCAAACAGGAATCTAACACACAGGAAATTCAATCTAAAAAGAAAGAGATAATTGAGTTGGAACAGACTCTAGAAGAACCATATTTTTTCATTTGAAAAGAAGAAAAATGGTTCTCATGTTGGGAAACCTGACTGTTTAGTATGATAATCGTTTGAAGCAAGAAGAGTCACTGAAAATGGTTTTATAACTTTTGTCAATTTATATAATCTCTAGAAATAAACCAGCCAAGAACTATCACTTAAGTGAAATTTGAATACAGGTTGTGGATTGGGTTAATACAGTATATCCAAAGTGAACTGATTATTGAGAATCAATCCATTGGAAGCAGAGGAGAGCGAGGACTTCATCACTAAACAGAAATGCTTTTCTATTGAGGATCTAATACACACCACAACAGTTCACTTCAGGAAAGTGAAAACAGAGGTTTCTCAAGGCTACTTTAGCTCACACAGGCTACCTGGCTCTATGCTCTGCAGTACACCTGGTGATGGGGGCCTGATGTCTTTCAGGTCACGGGTGACATCAGCGCCGTCACAGTTTGCTGCACCATTGTTTTTGAGAAACATCTGAGAGATTTTCTTGCGCAACCGCAGAGATTGTGTGCGCATGACTTTATTGTGGCGCAGACTGGACCTTTTAGACTGGCTTACCTCTGGTGTGCTTGCTCAAATAGGCAAATGAGAATACTGACATGTAAATGTATGTTTATACACATGTGTTATACAGCATCAGGGCAGAGGATACTTACTGTTGGCAATGTTGGATGCAGTATACGAGTCAGCTAAGCCTGACACCTGACTAGCAATGCTCGCCTCGCTGGCTCTGCGGGTGTACCGCAGGTGCGGCACTCCTGGTGAAGGGCATGGGCCGTCAGAGTATGATTGAGAATGGAGTAAATCCACTGTGAAAAAGTGAAAAACAGAAACAATGTTGCCAATATCAGATAGAAATGCAACTTAAGTAAAACAAAGATTATGTAATAAATCAATATCAAATATATGAGTGCTACTTTATTGGAAGGACCAACACAGACAGGCACTTGTGTAGAAGTTAAGGCAAAATGCTACATGATTACAAACATAAATAGTCAGCAGCTAATTGACTCAGAAGGGCTTCTCAACTTGTATCAGTCTTGCCCTTAAATGGCCTTCAGCAATTGTCCTGATGAAGGTCTTAAGACCGAAACTTTATATGTTCCAATAAAACACATTTTTTTGACAGCAGTGTGCGGGAACCATTATTTTTTATTCACTTAAATGGCCAATGAAATGTCTTTATGTTTGTGGTTGTAACAGGACAAAGCCCAGTATATTACAGTAAATAGCAAAGGTACTCACGGTCTATCTGGGGCTGGGTTCCTTGCCAGTTCAGGACAGGCACTGGAATAGAGGTCTCAGTGACACTGCCGTCCTGCAGCTGGTTGGAGACTCCACTCCCAGAATCCATCAGAAGCTGCGGGTTACTCTGCACAGTTTCAACTGCAGTTTTATAGAAGAAAGATAAATAGTTAAACGTGTAGGGAGTCAATATATTATGTGAGTCAATTTTATGGTACAAGAGTCAATTTTCAATGCGAGTCTCACCGAGCAGAGCTGAGTGACCATCTCCCAGTGGAAAGCGCTGGTATCGAGGGATGTTAAAGGGCGGCAGCAGGTAAAAGCGTTTGTCCAGTAGTGGTTCCACCCGAGAGGCAGAGGGATCCGCCGGATGAAACAGGTTATAAACCTGGTGACAGGCTGGGCGCAGGGCCGACACTGGACAGGACACACAAGGAAATGAGAAAGCAGCAAAACAAGTGACAACAATAGTATACATTAGAAATAACTTCATATTTTAACTGTTTATCCACAAGAAAAGTACTTGTAGTGTGTATTCAAAGTCTTGTGCATATTGATGAGAGTTACTTTTTGTGATGATTCTGAGAAAAACTGCTTGACATTTCATGATTATTTAGGATGGACTGTGTAAACACTGGCTGAACAGCTGTGATACCACACTGTCAACCCCAAAGGAATTTCATTTGTTTGTGATCTCTGCGTCTGTTTTTATTTCAGTTCCAAATCCGGAAAAGAGTTTGAGTAACTGAGTAACCGATTCTGAGTGCGACACCTGCCGCACTCAGAATCAGTTGTTGTATTTTTACATACAACAAATATAAATCTCTTATATGTAATATACTGATAATGTTTTGTATTTGTAAAGCTACATATTCTTACCATCTAATGAGGGCACCACGGTTTTCCTCAGTGCAAGAACCAGTCCCAGAGGAGACCCAAACAGGAAGAAGTCTGTCACCTCAAAGTCAAACTTTCCCAAAGAGCCTCCTTCCAGCATAGTGCTGTTGCTGGAGCGTCGAGATCCAGGGTCCCCATGGAGCACGCTGGAGTGGAGGCTGCTCACACACGCACACACAGATTTAGACGCTGTGGGGATGTGTAAGGTTTACTTGTTGCCTTACCTGGAAAGAAAAGCCTGATGGTGCTTGATGGTGTCCAGTTCATATGTGGAGGAGTCGCTGCGTTTGCGAGGGAGTTGTTTCTTGGGATCATCTTGTCCTGAGCTTCGAGGAATGTCAATGTTACTTCTACTGAGATGTCGACTTCCCTCCAGAGTTGGTAAAGATGGAGAGATGCTGTTTATTATGATGCCTGGGGACAAGAGGTCAGTGTCCTGAAAGACAAATTTTAAAGATATAAAAAACAGTAGGTTTGTTTAAAAAAAACCTCTTATATAGAGATATTGATGGTATAACCTGCACACTGATGGTACTGCCCCGTCTGCTGCTGTTCTGGCTTTCTGAGACAACTATTGAGCTGCTACAGAGAGCATCAAAGCCTAAGATCCCTCCAACACAATCCCCAATAACAGACACCTGTAAAAAGAATGGCATTTATGATTGAGCATGCACTATTCTATTACCATATACATGCAGTACATGGAGATCAAAACGTTTCAGTGTCCATTCGTTACTCACTTGACCAGTAAACGAAGCACCTTCTAAAGACTTGATGAATTCGCTGTACACCTGATTGGCACGAAGGATCACAGTTGCAACAGCGTCCTGATACTGTGGGGCAGATGTGGCCAACAGTGGCAGAGCAGCCAGTGGTATGTGGTCCTGACTGCTGGATAAGCATGACTCATCATAGCTGTAAGGACTGAGGCTGACAAACAAACAATCCTCTTAAAATAAAATCCCCCAATAGCACAATAAAACACTCTACAAATACATACTTTGAAACGAGTGAGAAAGCCTCCACACAAACAGCAGGACATGGAACTGTGCGAACAGCAATGCGGCCCATTGCTGTGGGGTAATGCACCCTCATGACGGTGTCAAACGCTGCACTCAGCGTGTTTACATCTCCTTGTTTGCTGTTTTGGTCTCCTAACAAATTCAAATGGTTTGAAATCAATCTATCTCTCTATCGGAAGTATCTATCATGCATCTGTGTTTGTGTCGATGGACAGATTTTGAATCTTACCAGAGCCAGTATCCAGAATGTTTCCCCCGTGTAGGACTAAAATGAGGACATGAATTTTGGATGCCTGAAGGCACTGCTGAGATGAACAGTCCTGAATGAAAAATAAAAGAATCACAAGCTTTTCATAAATACATTGTAAATCCTTGTCACTGAAAAGCATTGGGAGATTATACAGTGAAACTTACATCTATGTGTGTCCCCTCATTGCTTAAGACAGAATACTCTCCTCCTGAATCTTGATACAAGGTTTCTAAACAGACAAAAGCAAACGATATGAATGGATTCAATAGAAGAAGTCTGTTCTCTACTGTCTGTTCTCAGCAGAAGACAGATTGAAGACGTCCGCTTGGACGGGTTTGTAATATGTTTCGATGTCTATTGAGAATTTCTCCACGAATGGGCAGGTGTATCTGAAAGAAATAATCATATAAATCATATAAAGTAATAGTAAGTGAATGGGTTTTACCAGCTGTTGGTAGGTGTTACATGGCTTATATCCAAGTGTGGCCTATAATGCAAACTGTAGGTGCAAAATGTATTGTTTTTCTTATTTTTTAAATTGAGTCCAGCAAGAAGTACAGATGATGGGTGAGAAACCTTCCTTTGCTTTGACTAATCCCTGTACGACTGAGGGCTTACACAAACTTCTCTACTGGATGTTACTATTGTGCACCTTGTGCTCCATCGACCTCGATTGTTTCAATTTTATCCATCAGGTCATTTGAGTTCCACTTTGCAATTTCCTTGGGAAATATTTCTTCATTGTCAGAAAAGTCTTCTGAAAAAAAGGGATAAAGTGAAAAGGGAAATAAAAGTATAACATTAGGTTTTTATGATTGAAAGCAGTCTAAACTGTAAACATTTACCATGAGCATCAAAAAACTCGTCGTCTGTGCTGTCCTCGGAGTCTCGTGCGATGCTTTGCATCCTCCATTCAGAAATGCTTTGGCGTGAAGGACTTCCTGCTCAGTACACAGAAACACACGCACAAACCATTTCATTATTCTGTTTCTAAATCATAAAACATATTGAGTATGAAACATGTCTCATGGCTTATACAAAGAGACACAAACCTCCTCTCTTCGATGAGCGGTTGGAAGACCTGGAAGACGTGGACCACTGTTTGGTGAGTTCTCCTCTTGTTTCCAGTGATTCGACTTTAGTGGATCCTCCCTCATTTTCAGCCACTGCTCCTTTGGCTCCAGATCCCAGCTCTTGGTCCTGACTCTGAGAAGATCCATTGGTCTCTGCTCCTCCCTCCTCATTTAGACTGTATTGCCCCATCTTTTTAGCTAAGGCCAGCTGAGTCTCCAGTTCTAACAGCCGGATGTCGTCTATGGTCAGTCCGTACCACTCGTCCTGCCAGCACCAGGCCTGTCTGTGGGCACGCACCATCACTTTACGCAGACCTGAGGCACAAACATACACTTTTACAAATACAGCAGATCGATAGACTTTAAACACTTTCACATACACGTTTCAGACATCTTCAAAAAGTGAATTGAAATAAGCCTCAATTTACAGTAGCTTGCAAAAGTACTAATTTAATCTATAATGACCAATTGTGCAACAATATCATGTTGTATCATTTTGCTTTCACTTCACAGTCCTCTGTTACTTTGTTGTGGTTTTTCAAGAAATAAAATAAAGTCTTGATGTTTACGTTTGTAAACATGAGGAAAAGTTCAAGATAAATCTGTTCTTTTGTGAGGCTTTGTATGCGCTTCTCACTTCTTTCACATTTCACACATGCAAATTTAGAAATAGTGTTGCCAACAGGAAACCGGAGGCAAACTGTCGTAACGTTACACATAAAATAAATCTGCAACACTTACCAACATCATGTATGAAGCGTTCTATCTTGGATTGCATGCCCCAGTATCTAAACTCCACTTTGCAGAGCTTGTAGGCACACATGACTGGGTTCTGCCCTGGGTTTTGGTTGATCTCTTCTATCCAGTCGTCGTTTAGCGGTCCTCGTTTGGTCTTCATTGACAGATACAGTTTGGGGTCTTCTTCCACTAAATATTCATGCGGGGCAATGTAGTCCTTTACTATGTCAATGGGATCTGTGATTATAGAACATAAAAGACACAATTTTTGATAATGCTCATAATTATGTATAGTTTTTGGTGGTTCTGGAGCCTACTTACCTATTGTCCTTACTCTTTTCTCAGCAGAAGACAGATTGAAGACGTCCGCTTGGTTTCCTGTGTCAGGTTTGTAATATGTTTCTATGTCTATAGAGAATTTCTCCACGAATGGGCAGGTGTATCTGAAAGAAATAGTCATATAAAGTTTCAAAGAAATAGTAAGTGAATGGGTTTTATCAGCTGTTGGTAGGTGTTACATGGCTTATATCCAAGTGTGGCCTATACTGCAAACTGTAGGTATTTTTTAAATTGAGTCCAGCAACATTATACATGACTTGACAAGAAGCAAATCGAAGACTGTGTTTCTGTATCTGTAGTTTTATTTGTTTGGTCACCTGAATTTTTCCTATGCGGGATCAATAAAGTATCTATCAATCTATCTATATATAACTTTCTTAACATATGACTTATGCATATGACGCGCGCTCTGATTGGCTGATTACCGGTCTGATATTTTCCCATCTCGGACTGTTACCATGACAATCTGTCCGCAGCGCGTATCACACAAAACCAAGTCGGACATGAACATACTTCACAAATATCTCAAAAGCATTGGTAAAGACACAGACGAGAGTCATATAATAAAACATTTATTAACCTTGCTTGCTCGGTCTGTACAGAGAAATATCAGACCTTAATGTACAGACCTCGCCACGGCTCGGTCTGTACATTAAGGTCTGATATTTCTCCATACAGACCTCGCGCTCGGTTAATAAGCCGTTAATATTTGAAAATTGTTAACATGTTTTCACACTTCCTTTTCTTCCTTTGTCTATTTGCACACCCTGAGTGATTCTATCTATGCCAAATGTGACATTGTACATTGCGAATGTACATTTCTTCATTGTGAGATCAATAAAGTTTATCTTATATTATCTATCTTATCATGTGAAATTGTGTTGTTTTGAAATCAATAACATTGAAAAAGACAAGAGCGTGAACACAAAAACACAGTGCTTAACTTCTTTGCATATAATCGCACAAACACATCGATGAATAGGTATTGTTCTCGTGTAAATGCTCACAACTGTATAATTCAATAACATTATCGGAGGGTTGTCGGGCGGTAACGTGACTGTGTCTTTCTCACCGTGTGCGTGTGTAAGGATAAGCGTTCCACGACTCCTCCTCCACTCGCAGAGCCGCCTGAGGCAGGATGGCGCAGAACCAGGAGGGGATGTGCTTCCCGATGTGGTAGACCTTGTGTGTGTACTGACCCAAACCTCCGGGCCCATCCTCATACGGCTTGTTCTCCAGGATTTCCACTCCACTGCCCTCACCGCAGCTCTCCTCCCGGCTCTTTTTCTGAACAAACAAACAGCACAAAATCTTATGTTTTTGTGGGTTGCTCAAAATGAATCAGTTTGTGATTATTGGGAAATTTTCAAACACTAAAACCTTAAAGCTTATAACAACAGTTGATTTATAATACAAGTACATTCATACAACTACTTATAAGTACTGGCTTTTAGCTTGAACTTTATTGGTGATTTCTTGTCTTTGCTAAATGTTTTAAATATGGTTAATTTCTTGCATCTTAATCTTGTGTCACACTTGGGGACCAGCTTATAACACCCTTATAAGATGGACCAGTGAACCTGCTTATAAAATAAAAACTGCTGTGTGCTATATAAATAGCCCAGTTTCCTAAAGAGCATAAAAATAAGTGCAGATTTTTATTTGTATAAATAATAGCACCGTGGCAAGAGCGCTGGTGTATACTATCTGGTGCACACCAGGGGTAGTTTTTCCAATGTGGTTTTACTGCAAAAAGCAAAGAAATTCTTGCATCTTGAATCTGAATCTGTATATTGATTGAATTGTATTCCCTCCCCCTTCATGATATAAATACACAAACATTCACATTCACATTTTTGTGACTGGAGACCCTAAAATGGAGTGGGAAGAAAAAGTAAAAAATCCCAAAAAAAGTATTAATTCCAAATCACTAAATTATTTTGCCCTGAGTACTGTAGCTACAGTAATATACATTACAGGGATGATCCTTCACTAGGGTAAAGTTTTAGAAATAGGACCACTTTATGTCTTAGAATTGTCCAGGGGCCGACAACACAGATTGTAAAACTGTACTGACAATATTCGGGTTGTTCTGAGCTTTAAAATGAGGTATGGCACCATGTCCATCTTGATTCACACAGAGCTGAAGTTGGCTGAATGACATCTGTTTACTTTCTGTAGAACCTCACCAGCTACATTAGTTTTGTGACAATCAAAACCAAACAGCAGTATCTACAAATAAAGTCAACGGACTGGATTCAAGAGACTCTAAGCTTTTCAATGTGTGGAGCTGAAGTTGGCTGGAAGACACTGTGAACTTGAGTTAAAATCTCAATGGTCTACTTTCGGTTAGTCCAGACAGGCCACATGCATTTGCACAGAAAGCTGGTGTTTGGACATGCTTGAAATGTATTAAAATAGTTCAATATTTTCCATCTGCAACCTTTTCTGATTTTTTGAACCAGTTTGATGCAGTCTTTTGAGACCATTAGTGCTTCATTGGTCAACACGCAGCACCGTTCCCAGACGTGAAAAACGTCACAGCGACATCAGCCCAGACTGCCATGAGCCTCCACACCGTCACATGCAGCTCAACTAGAATCATGTATGGAGTTTTTACATGTCCATTATCATCAGTTACAATCCACTTTCAAATGCAGTGTTTCTCTCTGTTTACGATGCACTTTCTGGAAAGATAAACAGAACGGTCTCCATTCTCAGAGAAAGAAAAACATTGGTTACTGCAGAATGAACAATATAATGTTTATCTTGTAGTTTGCTTCCTGTCTCCTGTTGCTTGTTTGCCCTGATGTGCTTCACCCTCACTGTCTCCCTGGGTGTATTTGCTTTTCCCCACTTATTGTCTGTCCATTGTCTTTACCACGTTTGTTCCTGGCTTGTTTTCAGTATTATTATTTTTTGCATTACCTGACACTTATTAAATGACACTTTATTTTCAGTCCAGCATTTTGGGTTCCTTTTTAATTTCACCACATGACAGTTAGTAATATTTTAACATAATAACAAACTCATTATTTACTCTTCATCAGAGTTGGTTGCTTCACAGGTTGATCACAGATGGTTGCTTCACAAATCCTTTAAGAGTCTGCTCTGTTTAAGCCATAGACTGTGTTTATAGATGGACAATGCCATACCCCCAAAGCTCCAACTCTGGCTCCTATTGACTTACATCAAAAAGTAAACTCCTCTATCTCAGTAACCGTTCTCATCACACTCACCATTTTAGGCTAAAAACTTTGGTGTTTGTATTTTTCTATGTTGTCTTTGTAAACCAATACAAAGACAACATAGGCAACCAATTAGATTGCTTCATTTTATATTGTTGGTTTGTTGTACTGTATTTTAATCTGTAGCACTTTGAGGCTTCCTGGAAATGTAAAGTGCAATATGAATAAAATGTATTATTATTATTATTATTACTATTATTATTATTCATTCACAAAGGAAAGTCTACTTACCTTGGCAACAATTACAGCAATAAAGGGGTCTGTTATGGCGCAAAGCTAATATTGTCGGAACAAATGCCGATATAAGGAAATTGGCTCCTGCTAGCTTATGTTCAAATGGGCTTCTTCTACATTCAACAAAAACTATGTAGAAGAAGCCCATATACATTTCATGGTTAAAACTCAAGATAATCTGTCTTTGAAAAAATACTTTATTTACTGTGAGTAAATCAGGAAAAGTATTATTTTTCATTGACATTTCCTTTCACCTTGGGGTCACACACATCAATCCACATTCAAAGTTGTGTTTACTATAAACAGGCTTGTCATCAGACTTTAGGGTAACTCAAACTGTTAATGGGGTCCTACATCACCCTATCCACACACCAGACTTCAGCTCAATAGGTCCAGTAGTTTTTGCACTATCCTGCCTATACCGTCCAGCTCTAATACTGTATAACAAGTAAGAATAGCTCAGCTTCCAAAGGTTTACAAATGATTGGTTAAGGTTAGATACCCATAAAAAAAAAACAATGTAAGGCAATGTCACCATTATACAGAATCAATTTGTATTTGTCAATTTCTCTCAATGTGGGAAAAAGTTGGAGACCCGTGTTCAGGAAACCATTTCAACCATGTTTTGTATTTTTAAGTATGACCAACTCAACCTACATACGAGACACAAAAGCAAGTTCATACATTACAAAGTAAAAGTGACAGATACTAACAAGCCACGTTAGACTAAAGACTTGTGTCATTGTTGTGACCATGAACCCTGTCTCCTGTCTCCTACGAGCTGCTTGAAAAGATGTTTTATTCCTTTTACTGGGGGTCGGGGATCAGAGCTATGAGAATGTAAATGACCTGATCTTATTAACCACAAGTGTGGGATGCTCCGGGTCAAGAATGAAGCTTAAGATTAAACACGGAGCCTCTCAGCAAGACTTGAGGGAAGTGATATCAGTAATGAAGGTCAGAGGAGGCAAACAGCTAGAAAATTGCTGTAATTCTGCAGGTAATGTAATTTAGGTGAGGAGCTGGGGCCCTTAAATCACCCTCTACAAGTCTGCATCTGTTCTGTGCTGCCACCGAGCAGAGATGTGTTTTAATGGCATTGTCCCATAGACCACAGCCATGAAGAGCCTTAAGTATTATGTATGTAGTTCACCTTGCCTCGTGTTCAAGGAAAGGCAATTCCTTTTTTTTGCTAAAGCAACATTTTCAATCAGGCTTACAATAATCAGGCTGTCTGTGCAGTCTCCCGTCAGCAGCATTACTACAGTAGGTCAATCTCACAGGAATAACTTTCGATTTTTGAGCTTCAACAGAACACATTTGTACTGCTGAGGAGAGCACTTCACTCTGAGAAGTCAGACTAATCAATTGAAATCAAAGCTGCCTTCAACCTTTGCGCTCTCATTCTCTTCCTGTAAACAATTATCTGCTTTTGCAAGACAATTACTCAATTTAGCAAAAAACTGAAGACTTGTCTGGACTCTGTGAACGCAACAACACACTGAGTACAGGCAACGATTTAGTGTAATATATGTTAGAATATAAACTGTCCCAAGATGGGCTTTTATGCAATATTAGAGCCCAAATCAGGTTCAGTCACTGCCTCAAACTTACTTTAATAACATCTAAGAAAATCTTCATATGTCACACAGCTAGAATGGATTTTCATGTATTGGTCAAGTTTTACCTTTCATTATATTTCTATCCAGGAAGCAAAAACTAAAATTACTGAAATGTGGTCAAAAAGAGTGTTGCAGTTATACTGTATGTTGAATGGTAATGTGGCTCCTCTGAGGACCCCGCTCCGGAGCTGCACTCGCCTGAATAATTTATGTGACACCACAAGGTTAGCGTCCACCTGGGCCACACTCCTCAAAAGTACAGCTCACAGGTCGCACATTTCAGAACCACTTCCTTCGTTTTCCACTCATAACACTCAGAACTGCTGCTGAAAGGTGGAAATACTTTAATCAGTTCAAACTTTAACCCTTGTGTCGTCCTCGGGTCAAAATTATCTGCCACAGGGATTAAAAATACCCTCTTTTTGTTTTCAAGATGAATTTTGATGACTTTTCCTAATTTGACCCAAGTTTGTAATCGACCCAAAAGGAAAGTGTTTGGGTTTTAAACATAAAGTTGTGAAGTTACATATAATCTTCACTTCTGAAATTATTGTTATGAGAGGTATAAAAAGCAAAAACACATAGAACCAGCTCTGAACCAGAAGGACTTTAGTGGAAAAGGGGCATAAAACGGCTCGTTCTCACTTTCCTCTGAGATGGTCATTGATATGCAGCCAGCGAAAGTTCAATTTGGTAGACGTCAGCCAAAGGTAACCCCTCCAGGCCGGTTCTCATCCCCAGCCTATCGCACGGCAAACGCCCCCTTCCAATCACCGGTCCAGCCAGGCAAGCTGCTTAAAAGCGGAGGAACTCCCATTCTCGGCCTTCTCGAAGCCTGCAAAGAATCGTCTAGGAGGAATCGTGTTCGTCTACTCACGCTACTCGGCGCGTCCCTGGCGTCCTCCGTCTGGCTGCTTGTGGTCTGCTCCGCCTCCGCGTCCCTGCACTGGTCTGCTCCTCCTCCACGTCCCTGCACTGGTCTGCTCCTCCTCCACGTCCCTGCACTGGTCTGCTCCTCCTCCACGTCCCTGCACTGGTCTGCTCCTCCTCCACGTCCCTGCACCTGCTGTGGTTCGCGTGTCTCCACTGCTCTCCTCTGCGGGCTCTTCTGCGGGCTGCTCCGCGGGGCCCCCTCCGCGGGTCCTGTGCTGCTCGTTCCTCGTGGCCTGCTGCCGCACGCAGAAGGTCTGGCGGTGCCGTGCGTGTCCCTGCCTCCGATTGGCGGTGCCGCGTTGTCCCGTTGCTTTTCCCAAGTCTCCTGGCATGTGAGTACAGTGAGTGTGCTGAACGCGGACAGATTAATCCCGGAGTTTGGGCTGCAGGCGATTGGTTTTTGCCCCGCGCACTTGACTGCAGGCGCCAGTTTTTCGCCCCGTGCTTGGTCTGCAGGCTCCGTTTCACATGTGTTTGAGCTAACTGAGGGGCAATGCATATTAAATGGCATCAATCTCTATCGTCTGAGGGATATACGAGGAGATATGTGCATTAATTCAGATTCATGTTCTGCCACTTGCAGTAAAACCATGCATTTAAACGCATGGATCAGTGATCGTTCATGCGTATCTGCCATAACCAAAGCAGCAGATGGCTCCAGGGGACGTCTGTTATTCACATGGGATGTTTCGGATTCGGGTCGGTTTTTCTTTTTCTTTTCCTCAGGCTGTTAAACAACCATGGGCATGGTTCTCTGACCGCCGCTGCTGCCGGTCCCCGCTGCCGTTCCTACTGATGCCTGATCCCGCCGCCACTGTTCCTGCTGCCGCTCCTGCTGCTGCCTGTTCCTGCTGCCTGCTTCTGCTGCTTCTTACTGCTACCGCTACTGCTGCTACTGCTGCTGCTTCATACTGCCACTACTGCCGTGCTGCTGCTGCTTCATGTACTTCGTCATCTCTCTTCATTTCGCTTCTCTTACGAAACACTAAACAGCTACAACATATTCTAATGCCGTGGCTTTGATACAGGGTTTTTGCCGTTATTATCTACGGATGCTGCAGCTGCTGCTGCCGCGGCTGATACAGGTCGTTGCCGTTATTATCTGAGGTTACTGCTGCTGCCGCTGCTGCTACTGCTACTGCTACTGCTGCAACCCACACTCTCAGAAGCTTATCCTGCTCTAATGGACGCAGCCCGGCTGAGCATGCCGCGCTGCGCTGGACTCGCACCTATGCTCCCAGGGTCGCTTCGGCGGTCATGCTTCATCTCTTTACTTAATCTTCCGATTCTATCAGATGCAGCTGGCCGAGTAGCTGCGCTGAGCCATCAATCGGACTCCTAATCAAAGGCATCCATACCTGTATTCTTCGCTCTTCTGATTGCAGGCTCCCCATCATGCTGCCCATCCTGCAGCGGCGCTGAACTCCGGCTCATCTTCCAAGTACATGTCTGCCCTCCTCGCAGCATCTTCCTGCTCGCCTTCCATGGCTTCTCTGCATAAGCGTTTCAATACTGCTCACTCAACCTTCACGCGGTCCGAGACACGGCTTTTCCCGACCATCCTACTATCCTGATTATCTACTCTCCAACCCAAGATTCTAAGCGTGAGGGCGCCTGCAACTTCATGTCCCTCTCCGATACGTCTCTGCCCCTACAGGTCTCCGCTTCTACACGGACGTGCCCCTTCCGTGGGTTTTGGGGGGTTTTTTCCAGGACCATTGGGTTGCCGGGCCGTGGCCGCTACTTTCCACCGGAGCATCTCCCCTGCCCTACACGAGCACACCTCTCTGCAACAGCTGGGGCGCTGGTCCTCTTCGGCTTTCTCCGCCTACATCAGGCCAGACGCGTCCGCTATCCTGGCTGCACAACGTCTACTGGCTTCCTCGTAAGCTCCCAGCAAAGCAATTCGAAGCAAAGTAAGTGAAGCAATAAGATTCTGGTGGCGGCACGCACTTCTCAAACACTCTTCGCTGCCGCAGCGTCTGACGGAACGTGATGCAAACGCTCACGTTCCCAGCGCGCAAAGATAACCCATGATGCATTACACTCGCCTCCGCTCTCGGAAAGGAGACCTCAACGGACCGTTATTTCTCAACCCCGATAACCTCCCTATGTCCTCCAACTGGTTCAGAGCCCAACTCAGGTCCGTACTGCTGCTTTGTAACATGTCTCCCCATCTCTACACAGCCCACTCCTTTCGGATAGGCGCCGCCACGCGCGCCGCGTCCCTTGGGCTCCCCTATTCCGCCCTCCAGCAGCTGGGCCGCTGGTCATCATCGGCCCTCTCCTCATACATCAGGCCTGACACCTCTTCCATCCTGGCAGCCCAGCGGCTTTTGGCATCTTCTTAAAATGCTCGCTAAACTTCCTGGTGGTGGCAGCAGCTGAGGATCCGCAAGTTTGGTCACAATAGATAGCGGTCACAGCATATAGTGATAGCGGTCACAGTATATAGCAAAAAATGGTTAGCGGTCACAGTATATAGCGATAGCGGTCACAGTATATAGCGATAGCGGTCACAGTATATAGCGATAGCGGTCACAGTATATAGCAAAAAATGGTTAGCGGTCACAGTATATAGCAAAAAATGGTTAGCGGTCACAGTATATAGCAAAAAATGGTTAGCGCGCGATGGTCGCGACTCGTCAGCATATAGCGATAGCGGTCACAGTATATAGCGATAGCGGTCACAGTATATAGCGATAGCGGTCACAGTATATAGTGATAGCGGTCACAGTATATAGTGATAGCGGTCACAGTATATAGCGATAGCGGTCACAGTATATAGCGGTAGCGGTCACAGTATATAGCGGTCGCGGTCACAGTATATAGCGGTCGCAGTATATAGCGATAGCGGTCACAGTATATAGCGATAGCGGTCACAGCATAGAGTAGTCTCGACGTCTGTCCCCTCCAAACCAGGCTGCAAAACTCCATCAACTCACAACCTTTTTGGGGATTGGCTCGCTCCTTCGCATGGAGGCCCTCCGATCCGAAGGCCGCACCGGGGCCTAGGGCGCCAAACCTCCTCCCAATAAAATACTCAAAGCTTCTTGTTTCACGTCTCTCCAAATTGAAATGCAGCCAGCGAAAGTTCAATTTGGTAGACGTCAGCCAAAGGTAACCCCTCCAGGCCGGTTCTCATCCCCAGCCTATCGCACGGCAAACGCCCCCTTCCAATCACCGGTCCAGCCAGGCAAGCTGCTTAAAAGCGGAGGAACTCCCATTCTCGGCCTTCTCGAAGCCTGCAACCACCGCCTCCCCTCCTCCTCCTCTTCACCCTGCCTTCATCTGCCTTCAATCTGCTTCCCGCTGCAAATGCCGCCACCAGTGCCTAGGTCCCGGGGGATTGGCTCGCTCCTTCGCATGGAGGCCCTCCGATCCGAAGACCGCACCAGGGCCTAGGGCGCCAAACCTCCTCCCAATAAAATACTCAAAGCTTCTTGTTTCACGTCTCTCCAAATTGAAATTTATATAAGTACAAATATATAACATATTCGTTTAAGTAAAAAGTTCAAATGTTGTCATGTGTAGAGGGATTGTATAATAAAGGTTTGGTATTTCTCTTTGGGGCTGTGTTTGGCGACTACATTGATTGATTACAAAGGTTGTGAAGTCGAGCAAATCAAAACTACAATGATAAAATCCATCCAAACACACCATAATTCCTCAACAAACACAGCCCGACTCTTTCTCAGACAGAGATGTAACTTTGATTATCAGACGCTTTGTTCAAATAGACCGGTGGCTCTCAAAGACAAGACCACGGGACCATTCACTTTAGAACTTTTTGAACTCGAAAAAGAGGGTATATTTTATTATATTTTGCTAAATCAGCCACTGGTGCTGCATTCACATTTTAATAATTTGTTTTTGGAAATGTATTAAACATAGCAGCAGGTTATATTTGTTATTATTATTATTGATTTGTCTATGGTTATTTAATTATTGTGTTTATTTGGATTGAACAGTGTGTATTAAAGTGCTGTAAATACACCAGAATTTAGCAAAAGGCGCATTCACAATCACAAACTCATTCAGCCTGAATTATCATACATGTTTTAAGTGGTAGGGGACACTGGAGCACCCGGAGGAAATTACGCTGACATGTAGAGAACATGCAAACACCACTGCATGTGTGTGGTGTTGTTTTGTTGAATCACAGCACCCACTAGTACTGTCACTGAGCCCTCCCTGCATGAATACAGATAAGTAACATGAGAATAAACCTATAATGTACTTTATTTTTAACAAAAGTTGCAGCTTTGAGCATCTATGTGAGATCAAAGAAATATAAAAATATCACAAGGATTATTGTAGCCATGATACATAAAATATGACTTTTTTTTAGAGTTCAGAGCCAATTACTGAAATCTATTCTATGTTTCAACAACAGAAGAGAAAGCTTAATATAAACAGTGATAGAAGTTTGTTTCAGTTTGGAGTTATGAAATCAACATAATCCACGTGGCATATGGACCACCAGCTGGTTGGAGAACAACACAGGATCACTGACCCTCTCCCTGCTCCTCATGGTGCATTATACCACGTACCATATGATTAAAAACAATATAACCATATACAGTCGATGGTTACACCAGAAGCAGCCCTCACCCAAAATCCTGCACACATTATTAACTCATGTAAGTAAGAAGAAAGAAACCTACCTGGATCATGTAGAGCTGAGCGATGCGGTACTCCTCCACGCTCATGGGCATGGGGATGCGGTACTCTTTTATCAGCATGGTCTCTGAGTTAAGGCCGGGACGATGGACAACGAGAGATCAAGACACGACCCGAGTCACATGTTCAAAAAGATGGGCCGCAGTCATTGGTGTCAAAGCCTAAAAATGACAAAGACAGTGGGATTGAGAGGTGAGTGTCCGGCAGAAATAATGAATCACGGTGGAAAACGTTGCTCAAGGATTAACCCCTCCTTTTCTGACCCATGTCCAAGACGCCACTTCCTGTCTGTGTCCTCCAACCCACTCGATCTATTACCAGGTAATCCACCGCCTCAAATCCCCTGCCAACCTCAATCCCAGATCACAGTCGGCACTTACGTTCGAGGATGTGCATGTTCATCTTGTGAATGAAACAACTACTTTCATCCAACGTCAAGATTCTGTGCCAGTGTGTGTTTGGGAAAACGTGGCGGCTGCGGCGGCGGCGGGTCACATGACATGAGACTTAATATGAGGCAGATTTAAGGGGATTACTGATGCTCGCGTTGAGTGGTCACCGTGAAACAGCGTCTAAAACCCAAAAGAGTACAGTAGAAACCACACAGAGGCATTTAAATGTGCGGTTTCTACTTTAAATATTGCATTGCGTCTAAATGATGTATATTACTTTCTTCAAAAAAGTAATAAAAAGTGAGTAATGTCTTCTTCATGCTGTGGCATTGAAATGATCCAACAGACGGATAGTCCTGGAACAATCTGGAACAATCTTTATCTAATGTGAGACAGGCTTCTTCTCTCTCTGGTCTCTCTCTAGTCTCTCTTTTGCCTTTCTCTGGTCTCATTCTGGCCTCTCTCTGGTCTCTCTCTGGCCTCTCTCTGGTCTCTCTCTGGCCTCTCTCTGGTCTCTCTCTGGCCTCTCTCTGGTCTCTCTCTGGCCTCTCTCTGGTCTCTCTCTGGTCTCTCTCTGGTCTCTCTCTGGCCTTTCTCTGGTCTCTCTCTGGTCTCTCTCTGGTCTCTCTCTGGCCTCTCTCTAATCTCTCTCTGTTCTCTCTCTAGTCTCTCTCTAGTCTCTCTCTGGCCTCTCTCTGGCCTCTCTCTAGTCTCTCTCGGTCTCTCTCTGGCTTCTCTCTGGCCTCTCTCTAGTTTCCCTCTGGTCTCTCTCTGGCCTCTCTCTAATCTCTCTCTGTTCTCTCTCTAGTCTCTCTCTGGTCTCTCTCTGGTCTCTCTCTGGTCTCTATCTAGTCTCTATTAGTCTCTCTCTGGTCTCTCTCTAGTCTCTCTCTAGTATCTCTCTTGTCTCTCTCTGGCCTCTCTCTGGTCTCTCTCTGGCCTCTCTCTGGCCTCTCTCTGGCCTCTCTCTGGCCTCTCTCTGGTCTTTCTCTAGTCTCTCTGGTCTCTCTCTAGTCTCTGTCTGGCTTCTCTCTGATCGGTCTCTAGTCTCTCTCTGGCCTCTTTCTGGTATCTCTCTGGTCTCTCTCTCTGATCTCTCTCTGGTCTCTCTCTGGTCTCTTTCTCTGGTCTCTCTCTCAGATTCAGATTCAGATTCAGTTTATTCTCTGGCCTCTCTCTGGTCTCTCTGGTCTCTCTCTGGTCTCTCTCTCTGGTCTCTCTCTGGTCTCTCTCTCTGGTCTCTCTCTCTGGTCTCTCTCTCTGGTCTCTCTCTGGTCTCTCTCTCTGGTCTCTCTCTGGTCTCTCTCTCTGGTCTCTCTCTGGTCTCTCTCTGGTCTCTCTCTGGTCTCTCTCTGGTCTCTCTCTCTGGTCTCTCTCTGGTCTCTCTGTGGTCTCTCTCTCTGGTCTCTCGCTGGCCTCTTTTATCTTTCTTTTTGATGTACAATGATTATTTATGATTTAAATGTCCTGTGTGATGGTTTCTATCTTATTTTGTTCATCACTTTGAGTTGCCTTGTGTATGAATTGTGCTATACAAATAAACTTGCCTTGCCTAGTTCTGTTCACAAATCAGGGTGGATCATTTAAGTAAGAGTAAAACGTTAGAACGTATCTCCCCATGTCTGCATCACTTCTGAGAGTGTGTGTGCGTGTGTATATGTCTGTATGTGTGTGTGCGTGTGTGCATGTACATGTTTGTGTGTGTGTTACAGTACATACATTATAATTGACTTCAGCAACTTAAGCCACAGGTTTAGTGAAGCTTTTTATAAGATAAGCACAGCCGTCACCTGATAGGGTTTAATTTGCTTTGGTTACATGTGAAGAACAAAAGTAAGTTACATACTACAGTATATGTCTCTCTTTTCACAAACCCGGGTTATACAAAACTTTACAATGTTTTTGTATTTCCCAATCATTCACAGTGATTGGCAGAAGCAGGACTGCCACAACTGGAGCTTCGGACCACCACCAACCATTCACAATGTGTTTAGCGGTATAAGGCAAACCGGAGCACCTGGAGGAAAGCCACGCAGAAAGGCCTGGCAGTAGGACCCTCTTATAACTGCGTGTGAGAACTGACTCCAATTCAGAAAAATAAACAATCTCCAAACCAAAAAAGACAGCGTAGAGATACAGGCAAAGACACCACGACTGACCAAGGCCCTAAAATGGCAGCCCGTCAGCGTCAGCACATCCGCTGTGGCAGAAGAGAAAAGTAAATTGAGCAAAACACCAACAGCTGACAGAGAAGCAGCTCCGGTCCATTACACTCATCGCTGGTGGTCGGAGCAGTTCTAGACACATATCGACATCATAAAACTACTCAAGTTTACTCATACTGTTTGTGAAATAGCTTAACACAATAATACTACATGATACAGAGCATCACTGTGAGAACTTTGAAGGTTTTGGAAGTGCTTAAGACATGACGTGATATAGATAGTTTTGTTTTCAGCATTGAGCCGATACAAAACAGAAAGTATAATCTCCAGATAGAGGCATCAGGGTGGCGTTTTATCAATGTCTGGAACGGTATGTATATGTTCAAAAGGAAATCTTGAGAGAAGGGACCTCGCCTAAAGTAGGTAGCAAACAACAGTATAGCAGCAGTATTTAAATATGTAAAATTGTCAGTGTCACAATGCCACCATAACAGTAATTCTGCAATTTTCTTACATAACCTGTATATATGTATATTTGTGGACAATATATTCACTGCAGCATCGTTTAATGAAAGAAGGATTTGGATGATTGATTGTATGTTTATATCTAACTGGTCTCATTCACTGCAATGCCTGTGGATTTGTGTAATAGCAAATAAATAATCAAACCTGGCATGTTTTCCCACATATTCCTAATCAGTTTTGGCATCCGTTATAAAGCAGCCACACACTCACACAGTTATTGAACCACACCAAGGGTTGAGTCGTGCACAAACCACCTGCAGATCCCCTCAGCCCTCCCATCTGCAATCCTAATATTACTTCATTCCCGAGCAGCTGAGCGCAATCCTGATACAGTCATTAATTTCCTCCACATTGCGTGTATCTAAAGCATTCTCCCAGCACTAGCAGAAAACGTGTTTACCTGACAGATGACGTTCGGCACAACTACCCAGCCCATGCACCATGAGGCTCACTGTCACTGCATCGTTCAGCCGCATTTTCAACTCCACGCATCCTGCCCCAGCATCCTCCAGAAAACAGTCCTCCGGCTTCTTAAAATGGACCACTGACACGCAACTTAAAACCTCACAGCGAAATCGGAGAAGATATTGATTTGAACCCCCCCCCCTTTGGCTGTACTTTGCTCCCACCAGCAGTCACTTCTTTCCTATTTTCTCTCGCTCTCGCCTCATAGTCTCCTCCCTTTCTGTGCTGGGGAAGCTCTGTTACCATGGAGAGGGATGAGGCTGCGGCCTGATTCGCGGCGGTGGTTGTGATGCAGCGAGTCACCGGAGCAGCCCACTAGATTGATTGTCTTCTCAGTCTTTCTCTGCTCATGCACTTGGTTATTTTTCATTAACCAGGAAACAGACACAGGGAGAGGTTCATATGTGGCTTTGTGTATGTTACTACAGATAAGGCGTTCAAATTGGGATGCTAGACAAGGCCGCTGAAACCCCAAATGCAAGCAAACACTAGGAAAAACATGAATCGCCGCCCACTGAGCCTCGAGATCACCTGCTGTAATGATTATGAATCTTTTTGTCAGGACCAGCGTTTTTGCCGTTTTACCACCAGCTGAGCCACAGTCCACACAAGGCACACATTTGACTAGTAACATACCCAGCAACTCATATATATTTCTTTTTAACAGACAAGTGCTCTTTCAATTTGGACTTGAAATTCTATAAATAATGCAATACTCCTTAGGTTGTTTGAATGCTGCATGCACATAATATGAAAAGAGTCACACATCCACGCTGCAGCCCTTTCATGCCATGCAGGGGGATTTGAAGGAGCTCAACCACAGCATACAAGAAGATTTCATGCTATGCCACTGCATTTCCATTTCAACCAGGATTTGCTGTTCAAAGTCAGGCGGGTTTATTTGGAAAGATATATGTGCAGGCATTTATAGCATTCACAAAACGCATGAAGTTTCGGCTGGATTGCCTCAGCTGTCAGAAGGGCAGGAGAATATGAATGAGCGAGCCCACATGTTGTCCCTCTGCCCTAAGCTCTGAGTATTATCAGCGTGATGTACAGTACATCCTCCAAATGAAAAGACTTGTTGATGGCTGCCCAGCCCACAGCAGACTCACACTGTCTGATCATCTGCAGAACACGGCTATAACAGAATTAAGTCTCTGCTCGTTTGTACCACACACGGCTCCAAACATCTGCTCTGCTCTGTTAATTTGTCAAACTCTGCCGCTCCTATCGCACAGCAGACACACAGGCTTAATGAGGCCAGGGGTATTTGCAAAGAGGTGACACTGGCATTGGGTTGAGCATTCAGTTCACAGGATCTATATTTAAAACAAAAACATGCACCATCAGTCAGCGCAAAACAGTAAAAGTCACATGTCATTTCCTAGATAAAAATGACAACCAAAAGCACGAGCTTACAGCATAAACATTCAACTCAATTCATTTTTGTATAGCCCTAAATCACAACAGCAGTCGCCTTCGATGGATCTACAAAATTGATTCACCAACGAC